TACAGATTCTTTGCCTCTTTGGTTAGATTTATTCCTAGGTATCTTATGGTTTTAGGTGCAATTGTAAATGGGATTGACTCCTTAATTTCTCTTTCTTCTGTCTTGTTGTTGGTGTATATAAATGCAACTGATTTCTGTGCATGAAAAACCTTTAAAAAAAATCTCAGTATCTTTTTAAGTGTTTTTATAATTGATAGATTAAATATAGTAAATCATTTTAAGTTGTGTTTATTTGTTTTTTAGTGCAATTGAGCATTATTATTCCAAATATGTGTCTTTGGCTCTAATTTCTCTTAAACATAGTTTTTTGTGCTTTGGCCCATTTTCCTAAGTCTTAATATTGGTTTGTTCAGTTTAATGAAATCATTTTTTATATATTTTATTTGATATTTGTTATAACCAATATTAGCCTTTGATTTTTACATTGTCTCATATTCTAAAGTATTGAGTCTTTTAATTTGGTCATATTATGCAGATATATTCATTTTTTTGTTATAAAAATTTATCAGTTTTCTCCTACCTTTGTAGGTTTTTAAGGACCTTTCCCCTTAAGAATGTAGTGAAGTGTTCATTCCTAGATTGGTTGTTTTTATTGCTGCTACTGCTGTGGTGATATATGATGGTGGTAGATAGTCAGCCTTTTGGTGATTTGATCTTTAATATTTAACATTGCAATTCACGTGAAGTTATTTTAGGTGATAAAGTGTGAATATATAAATTTACTTTTGTTCAAATAGCTAATCAATTGTCACAAGTACATTATGCAACTAAATTCTAAATACATGGAAGTTTATTTATTTGTTTATTTATTTATTTATTTATTTATAAACTCCCATGCTTACATGGAAGTTTAACCAAATTAAAAGACTCAATACTTAATATATTTATTGCAATAAAAAATTTTAGAATGAGGAGTTTACTACATCAAAAGTAAAATGCCCTGACTTGGACATTTATGGAATTAGAAGCCATACTCACATAGATGTCCCAGGGTTTTGTAACTATTGAAGAACTCTCCTCTCTTCCAGCACCAGTCAAAACTTTATTTTCTGTGACCTCTGTTGGTTACTATTTTGACTTTATACAAATAAATCAGTTGACACAATAATCATTCAACTCATGAAAAACCTTTTAAAAAAAAATCTCGTATAGTATTAGTGAGAGTGCAACATTTGGTAAAGCATGTTGACAATGTCTATCAAACTTTTAAAAACATATATTTTTGACCAGAAATTCATCTGTTTGATTCATACCCTACAGATACATACCTGTAAGTGTATGCTGAGATAGAGACTAGGATGTTCCCTGGGACACTGTTAGCAATAGCAAATAATCTAAATATAAATAAATTACATGTCAATCAGTGGGGAATTGTTTACTCAAACTATTGAATTTTGAAACAATACAACACTTGTGCAGCTACCAGAAGAGAATGAGGTGAAGCAGGATATGATGACATGGAAAGATCTCCAAGGAGATTTACTAAACTGAAAACCCAAGCAGCCAAAGATTAAGTATAGTATAATCCCTTTTACATACATTGTGATATATATGTTTGTGTGTGTGTATTGATGTCTATATAGATAGAGAAATGGAAATGGATGTAGATATGGATACAGATATAGATATATATAGATACAGAGCTATGGACGAGAACATGGGTATGAATATAGATATAGCAGTATACACAGAGAGATAGAGAGAGAGAGAAATAGAGATTCCCCTCATTTTCCAGAATTCAGCATGCCCCCAGTACTCAGACACTTGACTTCTTTGTGTCTCTTCTGTTCTCTAGTTATGGTCTCACCCTTAATGATCTCATCGAGACTCTTGACTTTAAATACAACCTATATGCCAAAAATGGCAAAATTTATGTCTCAAGGTAATCTACATTGAACCCTGTTCAGTCATTTATTCAAGAAATAGGGGGTCAAAGTAAAGGAAACTCCACAGTAAATAAGACAACTACCCAGGTCTTTATGGAGCTGAATTTCACATATCCACTTGATAATCATTACAAAATCAAAATTTCCACCACTAACCTCCAAGATTTTTCTCACCCCAACCTCTCCTTTCCCCCACTTTCCCATTTCATTAAATGGAAATGTCATTCCTCCAGTTGTTCAGGCAAATACAATGTCTTTTTTTATCCTTGATTCTTTTTCTCTTATCCCACATCCTACACTTTATAGGACCAATATTATAATTATTATGATGTGAATATAATATTTGCTTTAATTGTATACATTGGGATTCTTTATGTGTTTTCAATTCTAAAATATTGGTGATGTTAATTTATCTTGATTACTAATCACACCTGGAAAGATCTCTGAGCAATATGTGGTTTTATGGGTACACAATTTTTATCTACATTAAATATTTTACTACTTAAAGTGTTATAAGTACCAACTCTAATTCAATGATTGTACATATCATGCAAACCCGGAGTTGCTTTTTTGGAGAATGGAAGTGATCCTTTGGTAGTATGCGAATGTTTTGTTATTTATAGTAACAAGCCCTCTTTCTTATTCTCATGTATAAAGAAAAAATATTAAGGGGTTAAGGGTCTATCTCCTACTGAGTCTAATTCCCATAAGGTCTAATATTCATTAGTGTTCCAAATCAGACCCTCTGAAAATAGTATTAATTTTTCCAGACCACAAGCAATGCATAAAACTAAGCATGAAGAAATAAAGAAAAATCTGTTTAAAATGTCATCAGAACACTCAGGTGGTTTATCCATTTGTCCATAGTCCCAAAAGGGCTGACTTGAAACCCCATCAGAGAGAGTACTGGCTGCTCTCTTTTCTTTCTCTCCCTCCCTCCCGCATACACAGCTATACATACGTATTTCCTTCATGTTCAAAAGACAAAATCATACGAACAACTTCTTAAGAAATTTCATCACTTTCACATAAAGACCTACTGAACAAAAATGTATCACTAATAATTAAAATCCCGCCAATACCAATCAAAATATGGATCTACTAATTTGAAACATTTAAACTCTAAAGAGTAGCATGGTTCCAAGCAAGTAATATAAGCAGCTGAAGTAGGAAGTCACAAGCAAAGAGGCTGGAAGAAGCATTTCCAAATTCACTAAAATGAAACTTCTAAAAACCAAGTGGCCAGCTGGGGAACCCAGCAGCTGCACACCTATTAGCCATTTTCATGTAAATTATGAGTCCAGCAAGCAAGTCAAAAATAGTGACAAACACTTAAGCTAGAGTTATAGTCACTAATCAGAGGCTTGCCTTCACCTGTGCTCAGTGGGAACAGTGCTTTATTCCTTTATTGGCCTTTACTTTCAAGCTAACGGAACACAATTAACCAAGAAGAAGCACAATTAACCAAGAAAAGCCACCAAACAGTAAGTTATTCAGGAAAATGCCATGCCGATGTGTTTCATTCTTGGCTCCCTCTAAAGCAGACAACTTTATGCCCTTTTTATTAAGAAGAATATGGATATATAGCACTCCACTTTCCTTCTGTCCATAGTGCTGTTGTTCCTCATGCCTCTGAATCCTCCTTGAATTTCTTTGCTGATTTCTGTCCCTCTGATAACAAATTAAAGGTAGATGAAACTCAACTATCCATCCTTGGCCTTCTGTCTTCCTACTGTACTCTTTCCTATGACAAATTATCACCATTCCGGTGGTTTCGGCTTTGTTTCCAGATGTGGTCTTCCATGAGATTTGCTCTCACCACTCTACAAAAATATGTCGCAGGTACCTCAAACTTATCGTGCTGAATAGTTAACTCACTTTTAAAAAACCATGTTGCTCTGGTGTCTTCTGTATCTCAGTTAAAGCCCCCACAGTTTTCTAGATTCTTCGGGGCCACAATTATAGATTTGCCCTCTACTTATCCTGCCCCTTATACTTATCCTGCCTTATACTAAATTAGTCACCAAATACTGTTGCTCTGACTCTAAAATCCCCCTTAGGCATTAGCTCCCTGCTGTAACCTTCATTACCTCTCAGCCAGAATATAAAGATCATTATAATCGTCCAAATCCTATCCACCACATAGGGATTTGAGGCTGAAGAACAATCCAAGTGACTGGCAGGGGTTCTGCACGGTGGATAGCCTTCTAGGAGAGGGAAGGTCAAAGTCTCTGGGGGATAAGAAGGATCCAAAGGCCTGGAAATTGGGATACAGATGATCCAAAGGCAAGAGGCAGGTATCAAGAATTTATATTTGAGTTGAGCGGGTGTGGAATGAGCAAGAGGGCTCTAAATAAATGCACTGAATAGCATGGGGGCACCTGTAGTCTGCTTCATCATTCAGTGAACTTGTGTGTATAGCTAGCCAACTGAGGAAGAATGCCAGTACATGATCTCACTGCGCTCATTCTCTGTCCTCAAATCCCTTCTTCTGAGTTCTGCTGGCATCATCTTCTCAAAGCCCAACTGTGATCCTGCCAGTCTTTTGCATATAGAATAAAATATGAACTATTTCCTCTTAGGATTCAAGATCCATCTCAGCTTAGGCTCCATGGATCCCCTCACCAATCTCCCATCATTGTGAATTGCCTACACAGTGATGAGAGACCCTGGGAAATGTGAGGACAAACAAAAGGATGTTATCATGGAAATGGTGGGGCAAGTTCTTTCATGCTTTCTAAATAGACCATCAGAATTAGAAAGCTGCTTCACAAGATGCAGTGCATGAGTATTAAAATCCTGTGCTTCCAGTTTTAGCTAATTTTTAGCTAAAATATGATTGAGAAAAGCCCAAGATAAGCCCATCTCCCAGGCCTTCAGGAAACAGGTCTCCTGCTCACCAGTGTGACATTTGTACAGAATGAAATGTGTTGTAATCAAAAGCTGACTTTTAGTCACCCTTTCTTTGATTCAAAACCCAAGTACTCAACCTTACTTCTTAATCTCCATCACTGTCAAAATACCAGATAGCATCTTTTTCATCAGTAGCATTCACTTTATTTGTATTCTTTTCATAGTTCCCCTGAGATGTCTTGAATTTCTTTTATTAAGACCTCCAGGCCTTTCTGTAATATGTAATAAGGGTATATTTACATCACACTCCCACTGAACAAATCAGTACAACATAAGTAAATTATTCCAAAAACTTTCTCAGAGTCTGGCTCCTTGGCTAAAAACCATGTGTATCACAGCTTTTACAAAAACACATACCACTTCCTCAATAGAATAGGGTGGCTCCATCTGTGTGGTTCTATTCAACTATTGTACAGCATGTGAACACATATTTATGAATCATTTGTCCAACAGACCTTATTGGATCCTTAACACCTGCCATGTAAGATATATCTTCAGACATATGATAAAAATATTTCAAAACTCATGAGAAACCAAAACAAAGCAGCTCTTTTTAAGTTTAATATAGCAAAGAAATAAATTTAGTTAAAACATATTCTTGAGCTGGACTTGAAAAGAAGCAGTACAACTTTCAAAAGACGATAGTGAAGAAACCCTGAGAAGACTCAAAGGGATGAGTATTAGTGATGGGCAGGCCCCGCGGGAAGCACAAGGGTCTGTCTACTTCAGAGTAACAAGGCAGTGAAAGCTCCCTCTTTCTTGTGACATCTGCCTTCTCATTAATTTTTAAACCCGTGATTATACTTTTAAGGAAGGTTTACCTCTTTTGTCTTTTACCTTTGTTGTCCCTTCAATTTGCTGTTTATTCTAAAAGTAATATAAAACGTACTTAATATTGTCGTGCTGATACCAAAAATGTTAAGGTCATAATTTCACACCGTTTTTGTTATGAGTGGTAGATTGCTAGTCCAAATAGCATCTATCCACGCAACCGTCTTATGACCTGAGTTGTTTTGCTTCATTCACCTCTCCTGCTTTTTTCACTATAGCATTACCCACTCAACACTGAAATAGCTAATCATTTCACTGACAGCTATCTGACTGATTGGTAGATAGAGTACTAAACAACAGGGTTGCCTGCTATTTCCCGCTGCATCTTCCCCTACATTGATCAAATAATCCTGAATCACTGTGTAGCAGCCTTCTTTCTCACTGATTGACTTCATGCTCATTTTCTTCTCTACAGACTCTAGTTCATTTCCTCTTTATCTGACTCAGCCTCGTTTTCACGTTATTATAGGTAGCAAGTCAATTTACAGTCACGGGGTTATCAGTACAGATTATCAGGGTGGACATCTGTCTCCCACACCAAAACAAACAAACAAACAAACAAAACACAAAACAATAACAAAAAACACACACAAAAAACCCCAACCCTAGATGACTAGATGTATGAGGACATATCTCACACACACACACACATACACACGTGCGTGTGCACACATATATGTACTAGCACCCAGACAATTCTGTCAGCTATCACTCTGGACTCCTGCTAGTTATTTCACTTTGAATACCAGCAGCCTTTATGTTAAAAGGTGCAAGAATAAGAACAGGGAAAAGTCATAAATAAGTTCCTCTGACACGGAAGATTTTATCACCAACAGTGGTGTGATCACTAAATACACAGAATAATGAAAGCTTAATTCTTCTTACTCTCTATAGAGAAGACACTTAAACACATTTTAAACCTCTCGGGTGCAATACTATACTTTTTTTGAAGGAAAGAAAAAGAAATAGAGAATTAGCTCACCCTTGTTATTGGAGATTTAAAGCAGTTTGATAGTGCTAAAATTCTATAAAAGAGTTTACTGTGAATGTTTGAAATGGAACAGAGTGACACAAGACTCTAGTTTTTAAAACTAGTAGCCCATGACTACTATATCCCTACAATGATAAAAGTTTAGTAGTAATTGAAATGAGGAATTATGTTGCTATTTCTTATACTTGGAATTAACATTAATATCTTTATCAGTTATCTAGAAGAGGCATTACAGAGTGATACTCTCAAGTTTAAAAATTA